ATAGCTGGGATGATTGAATTGCTGATGTCTAATGGTTTATTGAAAGAAACAGTTAGTGCTTAAATTTTTTTGACCAATTTCGCATGCCTATATCTGTTATATATCTTGCGGACAACAATATGCAATAGAGGGGCTTGCGATTTAGCTCAGCAGCACAGTGCCTGCCTGGCAAGTGCAAGATCGTGAGCTCAATTCCCAGTACCGGAGAAAAACAAAAATCAACAACAACAAAAATGCAATAGAACAACCATTGGTGGATTCCTACCTTCTTGTCTAGTGAAATGTTTTTCTAATTTTTTAATTATTTTTTATTCTCTTTAATGGTTTGATCAATCTTGCATTCTTGCATCTGGTAATCTGAGCAACTTCGTTGAAGATAATACGTAATGTAACAACTACTGTTAATTCCTATCATTTTGTTCTGAAACCTTGTATCTTTTTTATTGTTTTTGCTTTGTTTTGTTTTTGTGTATGTTGTTGGTATTTTATTGCTTTTTAAAAATTCTCTTTATAATAAAAAAATTAGAATTGTAGATAAATGATGAATGTTTTTAGTGAGTACAAGTCTCATGCAATATTTGGGACACGCTTGTAGAAAAACATTCTTCACTAAAGAAGGATTTGATATTCATCTGGAATTCAGTTCTAACTGTGGGTCTGGTTTGTTTCTGGCAACCCTACTGAAATTAAAGAACAAACCCTTCTCCTTGCAGCTCCCTGTGTCGGCCCTCTCCCGCACAATCCTTAAGCTGCATCACTACCTATGTAAAGTAATTTTCTGGTCTTAAATTGATGTTATTTAAAACTCTGCCCCTAAGCATGAGAACGCCGGGCCTCAGGCTGCCTTCCATTTAACTGTTGTGGCATGTGGTTACAAACATGTGTATTAAAACATTAAAGTTAGTTGATTCCAACTTCTTCCCCATGCTGAAGTATTTACATCTTTATATCCAGGTCCAATACTACTGTCACAGCGTTAGTAGACATTAGGTACCTAATCATATTATGAGAAAATTCCATATCTCTAAGCCCTGGGCTCAGTTTGTTCATCTGTGAAATCTGGAGACTGGATTCAAGGTGTTTTCTCCAAGACTCCTTCTAACCGTTCCATGCCACCAGTCTTTAAAATGAGGGTTCTAACAATTCTTTCACTTACACTGTGAAACCTAAATTGTTCTCACTTCACAAGAATCCCTTTACTCTTCAACTAGAGTTTGGATTACTAAGTAAGTAGTGATTAGATCACTCAATTAATAATTAATAAATTCATCTTAAAAGATATGTTTGCCCTAAATTGCTCGAGGCAAAAAGCACACCCTTTCCTTTCACCCATCATACTCCCTTCAGCTCCAGACTTGCGCATAGTAGGAGAGCAAATGCTGTGATCGTGAAAATGGAGACTGAAAAAACTGATAATGTTGAAACATTCCCATTGCTTTGGATTCTGACTGTTGGAAATAATTTTGCTGTTAATTATAAAGCTTTCGCTGGTTGAGAAGCGGTCTAGAGCCGCTCCTTGTTCTCTACCCCCATCTAGTGGCGATAGGATTGCCCTTATCGGCTCAGTTTGAAACTCAGGCTGAAAAAATTTTAGATTGCAAATCAAAAGGATGAATTTTATTCTTGTCACTACAGTAAAAAGGGACTTATCAAGGGTTTCAGCAGATAAAATGTAACAAATAATAAAATTTAAGTGTACTACAATGGCAGATTTTAATACTTGAGCAGTATAAATTAAATTCATTTGATTTAATGTTTTTAATCTGTTCAAATATTAAACACTAAAAAAAGTTTTTTAAAAAGATTATCTTTTTCAAGTGCTCTTGTATAGTTTTAAGTAATACTTTTCTTTAAAATAAATGTAATTGTAGTAAATGAAAAGGAAAGAAAAAGAAATAATTCTGATAAACACTAAGTTGATGCAGAATATCTCAGTTCTGTATTTAACCACTGTGTTCAGTTAAGCTAGAGCTTTACAGTCATTATTATTTATAAATGTAATATAATGCTTAATGAGTGTTGAATGATATTTAGTTTTAATATCCTATAATCTGGAACTTTCTTCAAATGGCATAATAGTGGGTTTAATTGTGTGGATCTAAAGTAAAAATAAATTTCTTTAATGAGTGAAGTAAAATATTTCTGAAGTGTGACTTTCTTCCCCTTAAAGCTGCCTTTCACTGATTACTTATTATAGGACAAATATTTCTGACATTTTAACATTATTCTGACTTTCCTTTTATTTTAATTTTAAATGACAACTGTCGTAGTTTGGGGGTTTGCATGGGAAACAATACAATAACAGGACACATATTTTATAAGATTATTTGTAATAGT